CACCCTATCTAAAATCCTAGTAACAAAGAAACAAAGAAGTTTTTTTTTTTTTTTTTTTTTTTTTTTTTTAAAAATTTTTTTTTTTTTTTTTTTTTGAGATGGAATCTTGCTCTGTTGCCCAGGCTGGGGTGCAGTGGCGCCATCTCAGCTCACTGCAATCTCCGCTTCCTGGGTTCAAGCGATTCTCCCACCTCAGCTTCCCAAGTAGGCGGGATTACAGGTATGTATCACCACACCCAGCTAACTTATGTATTTTTTTGGTAGAGAAGGGGTTTCGCCATGTTGACCAGGCTGTTCTCAAACTCCTGACCTCAAGTGATGTGCCCACCCTTGGCCTCCGAAAGTGCTAGGATTACAAGCGTGAGCCATTGCACCGAGCCCAACATAAAAAATTCTTAAGAAGAGCTTACTTCCCACTTCCCCTACCATATTACAAAACTAAACATGGTAGGTGAATAGTCTTTAGGACTTCAAATAGCTGAGACCAATGGTCAATGTCTAAAATTATGCGAGAGACTGCAAGCTGTATTAGAAAGGTTGGAAGTAGAAAGTTCAATTAAAACTGGGTCAGTGGAGGAAGATGAGGTTAAAAGGGTATATCTGGGAGGCAGTGCTACTGATGGAGCCACTGTAAGTGAGCTGAAGGGCTTTATCTACTCCTTACACCAACTACCAGCAAAGTTTGTTATATATAGTGAATATATATACTTTTACTATACCAAAAAGGCTACTGAAGCTTTTACTATACCTGTGCCAAGGCAGCTTACAAAATGCTAGGCTAAATGAGGAAAATCTTTCCTCTTGACTAGTAATCTTAAAAGACATTCCAGGAATAATAGATGGTAAAGTAAGTGGGAAAGTTATAACATTTGTAATCTGAACCCTTCATGACACATGACAGTAATTTAACTTGGGGAAGAAGGTACACTCACGATGGTGTTTCTTTTTCTTTGGTGTCCCACTCTACACCCAAAGCACACCTGGAAAGCATACAGCTATTTTATGTGTGCAAGAGTTGTTATTGTATGAAGTTGATGAAACCGCAAATGCTGCATTCCAGTCACATTAATTGTGGATATGGCCCTCAGTTATGTGACTGAAAGAGCACTGGCTGTGTGTTGAAATCACAGCTACAGTCATGTCAGTGCCTGCAGGAGTGCCAGGCATGAGTAAGTGTGGGAATCAAACAATGAAGGTTGACTTTCTCCTTCAGAGCTCTTAAACTCCAATCTTTACTGAATGGAAAGATGAATACACGTAAAGAAGGCAATAGTGCTTTCCGAAATAAGTGGATTATTAAGCCCCAAAAGTTAAATATCTTGCCTAACTGATGTTAAAATTTATGACAAAATGGGATATAGGATCCAGGTTTCCCACACAACCTGCCAGGCAATTTCTACTACATCATCCAACCACATCTATATTAAATCTAAACCTAAGATAAATCAATGTAAGCCAATGTGGAAAGGAACAGGCACTGGGCCTACATAAAAGGAATTTAACATTTCCTCTCCTTTACAGTCTCTGTTACTTTCAGGAGACTCAGCATTTATGGAAGAGCTGAGGCATGGTTATTATTGTCATCTGGTAATAATATATATTAGGAAGTAGGAACACGTGCTACTGTAGTAAGGAATTCAAAGAGAAGAGGGGAACTACATACTTCCTCAACTGAAAAACAAACTTGTGAAACTATTATGGGATTTACTTGTTAAAATATAACTCAGTGAGCTCCCAGTATGCACTCTCTCCCAAGTATAAAGAGATAAAAGCTATCTATTCCTGCCCTTCCAGAGGTTCACAAGCTAGTCGGGAGAGAGACATGTAAGAACTGTAGTAATGCTCAATAGGTTAACTATTACTGCCTGTAAATTTCCCTAGCAATGGCTGACCTAAGTCTAGACGGACAAAAGGAGAAGTCAAATGAAACATGAGAGGACCATCTAGGCTGAGAAGGCAGTATGAGCAAAGGCCTGGAAGCCTAAGATGACACAGCATTTTCAGGGAATTACAAAAACTTAAGTATGTCCAAGACGAAGACTTTGATCTTACCAACGGCCACACAGATGAGGTTGAAGAGATCATCTGTGGCCCAGGGGATTATTGCAACCATCCAGAAACTATGCAAAGAGGCACAGAGCAACTAGCAAGAGAACTCAAAGTAAAACTTGAAAACCTACTGGTTCTTGCATTTTATCATTGTCACTGCTCCCTTCATTGACAGCAGTTCATACACTCTTATTTTAACAATTTCAATTACTAATATGAATCACCTATCCATTGTTTCTTATTTTCTTCATGTATGGTAAATGAGGACATCAAAAAATTCCTTTCCCCCTCAATCTTTGCAGTTGTAATTCTCTCCTACGTTAAGTCAGTCTATGAATTACATCAAAGAATCACTGAATGATAAATGAAAGATTGGCACCAATTGAAAATAAAGAACTTTTGTTTTCTTCACTGAAAAGAATTTCCACTAAGAATCCATACTCAGCAGCATAGCTTAAAAGGAAACAGTTAAGGGTGAAACCATCTTGGTATACGTAGGCAATTATTTTTTAAATGACTGAAGTATTCAAGAGTGGAATATAGAAGAATGTTACATTGAACTCTGTAAGGGCTCGAAAATATGTCTCCTGAACCTTAGTCTTACACCTCCCGGCCACCCAAATTCCTCTTCTATACCTTAGATTTAAGCTATCTGATGAAAAAGATCAGGACATTTTTATACCTCTAGCATTAAGTATTCTTTAGCACTCAAATATTTGCTGAATCAAGGTAAAGTACTCAAGAACCAAAACAAAGGGTACTTGGGCACAATATCCAGTGCTAAGTCTGGGTTGTGTCAATCTGATCAACAAGGCTGTTGTCTTACACCTTCACTTACATATTCTCCATAAGTCTCTTGTGTTGGGGGTGGCGGTGGAGGTCTGTACCCAGTTGGGGGGACTCCTCTGGCTCTGGGAGTGAGAAGTCCTCTTCCCCGACTCACGGGCCCTCGGGTGGACAGAACTCCTCTGGGCGTTGGCGTCCCTCGTGGTACTACAACTCCAACTGGCCGGGCTGTAACTCCTCCCCTTCCCCTGTAACCAAGAGGGTCAAATTAGCAGTATCTATCATATTCTCTGACATTATGTTATTCACATATATTTATACCTCAGGAACAAAATTAACATTCTATATTTTTATAAAAAGGAATAAGGAAGTCATAGCAAAGACCTAAAAGGAAATATGAAACAGGTATCTACCAAAATGAAATTAAGTCATTTAGGTAGTTAGTCTAGTAACAATATAGAAGGAGTCTGGACTCAATCTCTGGTCAGTATATACAGTAGGAAACTATGATATTGGGGAAGTCGCATGCACTCTAGACTTCTACAGGATGCCATACCAGGATTACACTCAAACTTCACTCCCACATTATGAAGTGTGCCTTGTCTTGCTTATCTCTGGACAAGGAAGCTGAGGATTAGAGAGATTTTAAAACTGTCTGAGAACAGCTGTGAGCAAAGCCAGAGGCCAAAACATATGCCACAATTCCACCAGAGAGAGAATAAAATGTACTTTCCTGAATAATGTACCAACTACATGGTAATAAAACAACATTATTAGATTAGGTAAACACTAGCATTTTCTGAGGTAGAATTCAACATATTCATGTATTTCTAATGTAAATTATGAGACCTGAAGTCAGAAAAGAAGGAAGTGGCTCTATCAAGTATCGTTCCACAGAAGCAAAAACCTGAGAAAATGTGCAGGTCCTATTTGTAGAAATAAGGACAGGAAAATGTGGCTCCAGCAGAGAATACAGACACAGCGTGATGTATGTCACTTGGACAAGACCTGCCAGCAAGAACTACAGCTGATGGGCTGGCTGCCTACAGATCAGCTTCCTCCTTCTTTGGTGTGCTTGGCTTAGCGAATACACAGCTAAAGATTCATTTTCCAAAAACAGCAAATTACCAAAACCCAAAGCTGGACTTTGAAAAGACTGAAAAAACTGATAAACCTATATAGACAGGCAAAATAAAAGCCCGAACACCAGTATCAGAAATACAGAGGGTTTCGGCCAGGTGCGGTGGCTCAGGCCTGTAATCCCAGCACTTTGAGAGGCTGAGGCAGATGGATCACCTGAGGCCAAGAGTACAAGACCAGTCTGGTCAACATGGCAAAACCCCATCTCTACTAAAAATACAAAAATTAGCCAGGCACAGTGGCGTGTGCCTGTAGTCCCAGCTACTTGGGAGGCTGAGGCACAAGAATCACTTGAACCCAGGAGACTGAGGTTGCAGTGAGCCAAGATCACTCCACTCCACTCCAGCCTGGGCAATGGAGTGACTCTGTCTCAAAATAAATAAATAAATAAATAAAAATAAAAGAAGAAGAAGAAGAAAAGGATTTCATTATTACTGACCTCCTGAAGGATACTTAAAAATAATGAAGAAATACTATGAACAACTCCAAGCCCACACATTTTTTAACTTACATGAATGTGACTGATTCTGATTCATAATGTCCAACACAAGGAGAATTAAATAATCTGAACAGGCTTATGTCTATTAAATAAATTTAATCAACACTTAATAACCTTCCAAAGAAGAAAGCATCAACTCCATAGGATTTCAATGAAATTCTATCAAATATTGAAGAATAAAATAATACCAGTTCTCTATAATCTTGTCCAAAAAAATAACAAGCAGAGGGAGGACTTCCTAACCCAACCTGTGAGGATGGTCATTGGAAATGCCTCCTTAAAAGTATTTCTACATTACTCATCAGAGGCTGGGATTAGTCTGGGCCAGCCAGGGAGGCCAGAGGTGACTGTCCCCAGCCGGGTCTTGAGCCCTGGTTGGGACCTGATAAAGAAAGTATCTCCCAAAATTCCAAATCACCCTCAGAGGCTACAACTGGCCAGAGATGGGAAGGAAAAGGGGCAAACGGAGCCAGCCTTGTGAGCAGCCCAACTGCTCTGTGACCTCCCTAGGATGAGACATGTGATCTGAGGAGAAACAAGAACAAGGCCTCCTAATAAGCAATGTGGATAAAGACAGTCTAAAGTGAAGAACTACAAATCAGTATATCTCATGAACACAGGTACAAAAATCCTCAAAAATATCAGCAAACTCCATTCCATAATGTATTAAAGGAATTATACACCATAACCAAGTAGGATTTATTCCAGGTATATAAGGTTGGTTTAATATTAGAAAATCAATGTAATCTACCACATCAACAAGGCTAAAGTAGAAAAATCATGTGATCATATAAATAGAGCAGAAAAAGCATGCAGCAAACTGCGACACTCATTCATAACAACTTTCAGTAACACAGGAACAGAAGGCAATTTCCTCAAGTTGAAAAAGAACCTCGGCCAGGCGTGACTCACACCTGTAATCTCAACGCTTTGTGAGGCCAACACAGGTGGATCACTTAAGATCAGGAATTCTAGACCAGCATGGCCAAGATGGTGAAACCCCATCTCTACTGAAAAAAGACAAAAATTAGCCAGGTGTGGTGGCACAAGCCTGTAATCCCAGCTACTCGGGCTGAGACATGAGAATCACTTGAACTTGGGGGGCTGAGGTTGCGGTGAGCCTAGATGGTCCCACCAAACTCCAGCCTGGGCAACAGGGCCAGACTCTGTTTCAAGAAAAGAAAGAACATGTAGAGCAAACCCACAACATATTGAATGGTAAAAAACTGAATGCCTTCCCCTTAAGATTGGGAAGGATGTCTATTTTCACAACGACTTATCAACACTATACTAGAAGTCCTACCTACTTCAATAAAACAGGAAAAGTAAATAAAACATACAGATTTTGAAGGAAAAAGTAAAACTTTCTCTGTTCACAGGTGACGTAATTGGCTACGTAAAAAAATTCCCCAAAATAGTCCAAAAAACACCCCAAGCCCTACACATACTCCTATAATTAATAAACTAATAAAATAAGATCTCAGAATAAAAGATTACTAGTCAAATGCTTTCCTATATACCAGCAACACATAGTTGGAATTTAAGAACACAAAAACATTTACTGAAGCCACAAAAAACTGCAAGTTTTAGTACAAATTTAACAAAATATGTCCAGTATCCTTATGTAGAAAACTACAAAACTCTGATGGAAGAACTCAAAGGAGTAACATTCATGCTCGTGGTCATAATATTGTTAAGATGTCAATTCATCCCAACTAATCTATAGATTCAATGCAACTCTAACCAAAATCTCAGCAAGTGACATATATTTAGATATAGACAAACATTTTCTGAAGTATACATGGAAAACCAAAAGACTGAGAACAGACAACACAATACTGAGAAGAACAACAATGTCAGAAGACTCATAATATCTGATTTTAAGACTTATTATAAAGCTACAATCAATATAGCATGGTATATATGAAAGAAAAGACATAGATCAATGGAACAAAATACAGAACCCAGAAACTGACCCTCAGAAATATAGTCAACTGATTATTGACAAAGGAGCAAAGACAACTAAATGAAAAATAATGTGTTTTTCAACAAATGGTATAAAAAAAAAAAAATAAAAAAAAAAAAAAAAAAAAAAAAAAAAAAAAGCAGACACCTACACACAGATGTTATATCTTTCACAAAAATCAACTCAAAATGTATCTTAAAGCCAAATACAAACTATAAAATTATAGAAGAAAGCATAGAAAATAATCTATATTATATTAGTTTAGTGATGAGTTTTTAGATACAATATCAAAAAAAGTCCTTGAAAGAAAAATTGGTAAGTTTGACTTAATCAAAATTATAGACTTCTGCATTATAGGACACTATTAAAAGATGAAGAGACAAGCCACAGAAAGGAAGAAAATGTTTGGGAAACACATTAGCTGATAAAGTATTTGTATCCAAAACACACAAAAAACTTTTATAACTCAACAATAAGAAAGCTAATGATCCAATTAAAAAGCAGGCAAAATACCTGAACAGACAGCTCACCAAAGAAAATCTACAGATGGCAAATAACCAAATAAAGATAGTTAACATCATTTGCCACTAGGGAATTCAAACTAAAACAAAAGTGAGATATCTATTTCGTACCTATTAAAATGACTAAAATAAATAACTGAATATATCAATTGTTGGTGAGGATATGAAAACCGTGAACTCTCATTCGTGTCTGACATACAACATAGTATATAGCCACTTAGAAAGAAAGTTTGGAAATTTCTTGCAAAGCTAAACAGAGCCTTATTATACAATCTAGCAGTTGTATTCCTAGTTTTTTACCCAATGGATCGGAAAACATGCTGACATAAAAACTTGCACATAAATGTTTATGGCAGCTTTATTTATAGCAACCAAGATACCCTTCGAGAGAGGAACAGATAAGCAAACTGGGTTACATGCATACAACAGAAAATGATTCAGCAGTAGGAAGAAATGAGCTAACAATCCACAAAAAATAGGAATGAAATCTTAAATGTGCATTTCTAAGTGAAAAAAGCCACTCTGGAAATGGAAAGGCTACACACTGTATGTTTTCAACTATATGACATACTGAAAATACCAAAACTAGAGAGATGGTAAAAACAAAACAAAACAAAACAAAACAGTAGTTTACAGGTTAAGGGGTGGAGGGGAGGTTGAATGAGTATAGCTTAGGGTGATAAAACTAGTCTGTATGATATTAAAATGACGGTGAATACACGACACAAAGCATCTGTCAAAACCCAAGGAACTTCACAGCACAGAGAGTGAATTTTAATGTATGCACACTAAAAAACCACAACATTATTTAGGAAATAGGAGACTCTCAGGATGCAATGCTGAATATGAAAAAACATTTTAACTATATTAAAAGCATATGAAAAGAACCTTATAAAGGGGTTGGAGAAAAGTAAACTTAAAAATAAGAGAAGTCTATTAGACTAAAGGCAAAAAACAAAAAACAAAAAACCTGTACATAAGCACTGTTCTAGTTGATGCAGATATTTTATACAGGAAGAAGTGTGCATACAGGTTAACAATTCTGATATCACTGTACATGTACCCTGGAACTCAACAAATAAAAGAATGGTGGGAGCCAGTTTCTCACTTTGGAGTGGAGTG